GTGTACAGATGATTCTGTTTCAAACCCTCAGACCACTAGCTGGGAGCAGGGATGGAGGTAACAGGTGAATCAGCTCTTTCAAAGAAAGCAACATTTCCAGAGGGTGATTGTAGAACCTGGCTGTGGGAATCAATATGGATTAAACACATCTGTTTATTAGATGTCACAGACTGCTAGTGTTAATCCACTTGGTGGAATGTATATCAATCCTGAACTGATGATGCTTGCTCAATTATTATCAGCTCTTTGTGAGCTGTGATATCTTTTGAGACCATCCCAGCTGGTTTCTGGCTTAATATATATATATATATATATATAGGTGGACAAATCCTGGATCTTATTTGGGGATTGGGTTGGGACATTAGGGGTGTGAGGATCACCCTGTTGATGTGATCTGTGACCCACAGCTCCTTCAGTGACATCCCCTTTATGCCTCTACTGCCTTTTGTGACAGACGGGAGACAGGATTCAGCTGCGATGAATCTGAAAAGGGATTTGTTATTGAGACTACTGGGCATAGCAGGATACTGTCACTCTCCTTGGTTCACTCACTTGCTGACTAACTGATCACAACCCATGCTGCTTAATGTCACCAACCAGGGTTTCCCAAAGTCCTGGCTTGGAACAAGCAGACATGGAAGGGGGATGCGGAGTATGCCACAGCACCCAGAAGGGCAATGAAGCTATTTATTGTAAACCAAAGAAGACCGGTGAGTGCACTTCTTGGGGTCTCTAAGAGATAGCAATACACCTTTTGATGACTCTAAGGTCATCTTTTGTCCTCGACTATCAATATGGTATCTCCTAAAGATTCTCTTACTCTGCCACCCACAGTATACTGGGACAGGGGAAGTGACTTTGGCAGTCATCCCATTCCCAGTCTGAGTAAATATAGCACAGGGGAGGTTGGGTTTTAAATTAATTTCAATGGCTTTAGATGAGTAAAAGAATCATTGAAAAACAAATGACCAAGCAAATTCTGTAACCTGTCAAGGCAAATAATGTACATTAAGATAAATACCTCACTGCAAAATCCTGAAAAGGCATCGAGTAACAAAAATATATTAGACAGAAAGGCTAACAGTACTAGAGGATTTCCTTTCAGCATATGAGACTTACAACATATAATACAGAACTAAACCCAAATGGAATTTTTAATCAGGTAAATTTGAGTTAAACTAGACATGGTTATTCAATACAAAATCCCTTTAAGATTAAAATTGAATCACATTAATAAAATGCTAAATGAATACAAAGATAATACTCTTCAGTTCAGAGAGATTTAATATAAAAAAAATAAATCAATGAGCTAAATCAGAACTCTTTTTTTTTAATTGATTGGATTATCCAGTAGAAAAATCCACAGAATTAGGGGTTAGTGACATGATAATAAACAGAGCGAGCTTTGTCACGTCAATGCTGTGGCAAAGGCTTGATCCTGATAATCACTGAACTCAATGAGAGTTTTGCCATTGGCTTTAACAAGCACCAGTTTAGGACCTAAGAAAATGTTCTCTACCTCTGCTGTAGTATGGGTGAAGCCTCAACTAATGGGGCTCTTCTGGGTGGCCAGTAACCTGAGAAATCCAGGCTGTGTCCTCTAAGAAACAATCAACTGTGATGAATTTTCCATCTACATGAGGGATAAAATTCTATTGGATTTGGACTGGATTGGCTGGTTTCATTGTGCAGGATTAAGTGAGGCAGGAGCCAAGGTAACACCTTATTGCCCCCTTAGTTTCTTTCTACCACCTGTTGCTCTGAGACATTTTTTCCAGGCCGTTCTGGATGTCCATGTGATTGTAATAGTCACAATCTTTAAGTCAAATGATTTTCAGATCATTGCAAGTCATTCTGAATAACAAACAAATTCAGTCATTTTAAGATGGTACTCAGAAAAACTGCAAGCTGAACAATGAAGTGAAATTTATCTAGCAGTTGTTTATTGCTTATTTCCTCACCTCTAATTTGCATGTAGTGGACTGTGGTAGCAGCCAGAGCAAAACAAGTGCCTTAAGTCAAGGGCAGCATAGATAATCATCAGCTCTCTCTCATTCAAGTGTTTAATTAGTTGCCTCGCTAATCCCAAGCATTTCAGGTATACGTTCTACCTGGTAGTGTCCTTCATTGAGGCAGCCACTCCTGTACAGCCGAAGCTTATAGACAGGATAATTGACTCTTTGAAGCCAAGATTTCATATCACACAGAATCAAGTTGACTATGGCTTTAGTAGCTCGCATGAGTCCTCTGTTAGGAAGATATAGCATACAATACTGCAACACATCGACAGAATGAATCCGAAATTATGACCCATTGACACACATGCTTGTACTGCACCTAGCACTATAGGGGCATGGTCTATGATGACTAGGGCTCCTGGGGGCTACAGGAATACCAATAAATAACTATATAAACAACAATAATAATACAAGCTTACTAATAGCTTGGTAGCTCTGGTGGCCAATGGATATTCTACACCCCTTTCCATCCTCACATAGCTGGCAAAGTAGAAAGATGGCTAAGTATCTAGGTCCACACATGGTGAGGCTATTAGGGCACAGAGAAAGGGGTCTGCCATGTGCACTAGCTGGCCTCATCTTTCTATTTGAAGCACTGAGAAGTTGCTTATGTATTTATTAGTGGGTGGGTGTAATTTTAGGCTTTAAAAAGCAAAACTAAAGGGAATAATACATAATGCCATTGGAGATATGTTTATATATACACCCCCACACAACTTATCAGTTATTTATATCATATTTCAATTATTTTTCAGGTGTTGGTGAATTTTAATGCTCAAAACAAGTTAGATATGGAAAGTGTGGAAGAGCTGTATAAGTGTTCCCCAGACAGCTCTGCCAATATACTTCAATCCCAGTATCTGGCACTATCTACTATTCCAGTCCTCCCTCCACAACTTAGCCAGTACACTTCAACCCAGCAGGCATAGAAGAGCACAGGATATTGCTTTTATGTAGGTCCTACATAAATTTCTTAGCCAAAGAGCAGTGGATTTCTTTCTTTCTTCTGTTTAGACAGACACCATAATCTGCAACTTTAACCTGGGTCAAATGTTGGGCTTTTACAGAGCATGTGTCATGTGTCATCCAGTTATTGCCTCACGTCCCTCCTGACAGTCTTGATCATCTGCTAATTAAAGTGAATGGCCTCTCCTCTGCGCTCTGTCTCAGAGCTTCCATTTTGCAGGCACCAACTTTTCCCTATTTGTGGTGCAGTCATTTATTATGCTTCTACAGCAAAACGGTGACTGAATTCGGGGGGAGACAAAATCATCTTCCTGTGAGATGAAAATTTCCCACACTGAAGAGGGCATGTGATGACACTGCTCTACATAACATTATATATCGAGAACTTTATACTCTCTGAAACCCACCTAAAGGAAGCTTCTCCAGGCAGGTGAGAGTTAGACGATATCTCCAATCTGTCCCTGGAAGTAATTATCTCATTCCTTTGCCCATCCTCTTTTACCATTACCAAACTTTCTGAAGTGCGCTCAGTGAGACTTTGGATTTGCATATCTCGGCAGGAGCCCCACTAGCAGACTCCATGACGGATCAGAAAGTAGTTCCTCCTCCAGGATCTAGGAAAGTCTGCAAAATCAGTTGTGTTGGCAACAGAGCAATCCTCTGAAGATGGGAGGTTAGCAATGAGTTGAGCAGCCAACTTTCAACCAGTTAGCCGTGATGCTAGCCCTTAATCTCTGGCCAAAGGCTGGATATCTAAGGATCTAACAGTCAGAATTACAGTGAGGCTCATAGTCTACACTTCAGGGACTTATTGCATGCCCAAGAATGCAAAATGATGCAGGAAGGTAAATTTTGCAATGCAGCAGTTTGATGGTTAGTGCTGAAGTGCACAGATGAGGCGGTAAAGAATTTGGTCATTGGTTAAAATGCAAGAATGTATTCTTAGTTTTAGAATGAACATAAAGAAAGTAAGAAAGAAACTCTCCTCTCAGCTCTGTGATGTTCAGTGAGATACTCTGAGAATTGATACTAGCCCTACAGATCAGTCTCACAAAATTATACCTGTTCTCTCACCCTACAGAAATAGGTTTTTGAAAGGAAGATGGGTAAAATATCATTATTTTTAAAATTCTCACCATGACACTCACTACATAGCAAGGGAGTCAGAGTATTAGAGCAAGCTGGGACGTGTACATAACACAGGATAGGGATTCATTGGGAGATGAAAAAAGTGCATTTTGAAGAGAGGTCTGAAGGAGGTGGGCAAAGAGCGAGAAGGTCTTGAAGCACAAGCCCAGACTTGTTAAGGATAAGGAAACTTTAAGGATCTTGTTGTGTAACCCATAGTATTTTCTCAGCTGAGGTTCGATTGTCCCCTGATTTGCATAGTCACTTTCAGGCAGTGCAAAGCAGGTGTAAAACCATACCAACTTGCTTGCGTGGCTTTTTACACTAACTTTGCACTGGTGTAAATGATGACATAGGATGCCAGGCAGGGGAGAATCAGGCCCGACACTGATTCACTAGATAGCAAATGAGGAAACAACTTCAGCACTCTGGGCCAGATGCTTAGCTGTCATAGATCCATCGTCAGTGGGGATCTGTTGATTTACATAAGCTGAGGATCTGATCCTCTTTAAAAAACTGGACCTTTCTGACTAGCTGTAACATGCTATGTATCCAGTCTGATTTTCCTAACTTTTGAATGTTGATTTCCTTCCATAACTGTGGTGATAAAGTGCTGCCCTGATGTTTCAGGATGATTGTTACAGTCATTGAGCAGTCCAAAGCACTTAGAATTCATGTCTTATTGCTTCCTCCCCGATCACGGTATTGCATAATTGTTCAGAACTGCATAGCTTTCCCACTAAGTGTAATAGCACTAATCAGAAAGGCACTGCCTCTCACGTAGCATCACCAAGAGGTGCTATAGCCACTTGGGAATGCTCCTCCAATTGGGTCGTCCCATGTAAATACAGTGTAAACAATGCAAACAAATTGGAGTGAACTAGACAGTAATATACATAGAGGAATTTTATTTTTTTCAATGGCTTATGCATTACATACTATTCAGCACCGTACTTCTGCTATGCTGAATCAGATTGAGACCAGGTCTCCGGGCCTGTGCTCCAAAGTGGCATGGAAATCACTACCCAGAATGGTCATTGAAATTATGAACTCACAAACCACGGAAGTCAATCAATGAGCAGCAACTGAAACTTCAGAGAAGGAGAAAAACAAGGATTGGTTCCAACCAAGAGACCTCCTGTTCTCCAGAGAAGCACTACATTGCTGTGGTGTTTGAAAATATGATTTACTTTGACCAGAGAAGCATTGCTGAAACTATTGAGTAGTTATAAAATAATAGCTGCCAAGTGGCTAGTGACAGGTTAACTTACATGAAACCTCTTACACTTTGGTACCAACCAGTCATTAGCCAGAAGTGACCCAAATCATGGACATTTACATTTCCTAAATGTACTATGAGGTTTTAGAACAGGAGTACTTCTTGTTTCAGAGCGGCTGATTATTTTGGCTTGTGAATCAAATGTCCCATTTAGAACCCCCTTGCACATTTGCCATGAGTGAGTAAAACAGTGTTCTGGATTTTATTTTAAATTAAGATGAGATATACTCTTAAAGCACATTAGAATACATTAGGAAAACATAATACTCCAAGAGCGAAAGAAGGAAAAATGAAACTCGATTGCACATGTCACCATGCTACGGGTCTCATCTCACTCACAGAAATCTTCCACTGATCTTTTTCAGTGCCTTTTTATGGGGAAAGAGAAAAGGGTTTACTTGGTTTTTCGTTGGTTTGTTTGCCACTTAGGATGAATGCAAGGTCCCAACACTGCTTGGGCTACTGTCACAGAACTCAATCCTGCAAACACTGTTCACATGAAAAGTTTCACTGAGAACTAAATCACAGGAGTAAAGTTGCTTGGGGATGATTTTCTCAAAAGCACTCAGCAATGGCCTAACCCTTCTCCCATTGAAGTCAATGGAAGTTGTATCATTAACTTCAATGGGAGCAGAATTAGGCCAATCCTGAGCACTTTTGAAAAGCCAACCTATACCTGGGCCTTTGTGATGAACCAGTATTTATCTCAAATTGTGTCTCTCATGAGCTGTCAGGGTTCCCTCCCCACTCTGAACTCTGGGGTACAAATGTGGGGACCCGCATGAAAGACCCCCTAAGCTTATTTCTACCAGCTTAAGTTAAAACTTCCCCAAGACACAAGTCCCTTCTTATCCTTGGACGGTATTCACTGCCACCACCAAGTGAGTTAAACAAAGATTCAAGGAAAAGAACCACTTGGAGTTCCTATTCCCCAAAATATTCCCCCTAAGCCCCTTCACCCCCTTTCCTGGGGAGGCTTGAGAATAATATCCTCACCAATTGGTACAGGTGAGCACAGACAAAATCCCTGGGTTTTTAGGACACTAAACCCAATCAGATTCTTAAAAAAAACAGGACTTTATTATAAAGAAAAAAAAGTAAAAGAAGCACCTCTGTAAAATCAGGATGGAAGGTAATTTTACAGGGTAATCAGATTCAAAACAGAGAGAATTCCCCTCTAGGCAAAACTTTAAAGTTACAAAAAACAGGGATAAACCTCCCTCTAAGCATAGGGAAAATTCACAAGCTAAAACAAAAGATACTCTAACGCATTTCCTTGCTATTACTTACTATTCCTGTAATTTTAGAGGTATCATTCAGTAGGAACTGGATTACTTGCTTGGTCTCTCTCTTTGTCTCCCGAGAGAACACACACAGAGCACAAAACCAAATCTTCCCGGCCCCCCATTTGAAAGTATCTTCTTTCCCCATTGGTCCTTCTGGCCAGGTGCCAAATAGGTTAATTGAACTGATTAACCCTTACAGGCAAGGGGATTCTGTACCTCTGGCCAAGAGGGATTTTATCTTACTGCATACATAAAGGTTGTTACCCTTCCCTTTATATTTATGGCACACGCGCTCTTAGAACATCTTATATTTGCTGCCAGTGCCCTCAGTAAAATATGAAGTGTCAAAGCCAACAGTTCTGTGCCTGCTGCTAACCTCTTTGGGTTTTCTAAATTTAAATTGTTTGGCTCTACCATTTCATCTAATTAGGGCTATTCCTGGCCAGTGCTCTAATGATTTTTAAAAGACAACGATGAGAAACTTTAGCATGGAGTTTGTCCAAGGGCAAAGAACACTTCAAGGAAGAGAAGGCTAATCAGACACCACGGCTGGAAAGCTGCTTGCTGTTATCATGCACAAAATCCTCTTTCTCAGAAATACTTTTTCTTTGTTCAAAGCAGGTTGTTTTTACAGTAGATACCTGTCACATAGCAACAGATCATTAATAAAATAATAATAATTATATTTATGTTAAACTCCCATGTTTTAGAAGCTTAGAATGGGAAAAACACTTCTTTTTAAAAATAATAATAAATAATGTCAACTTTTTTCTTTACATTAAAAAAAAATCTGTACATGATTACACAATGTAACAAAATACATTTCTGTTTTCCAGGCTAAGGCCGTCATCTTTGGGTTAGATCTTCATCTAAGGAGGTTACAGGCTCACGGTTTAGAACCTGTGTATTTCCCACTGCACGAAAATCAGACTCCCAGGGTTCCTTGATCTACAGTGTTGCCTGCATTTACATTTACATGCAAAGGAGGAAGCTGCCTACAAGGAATGTAGTAATATCTGCATGCAGGATATGAGATTATTGTAAAAGGACAGGTGCATAGGGCAACATTTGAAAGTTCTGAAGCTTTTTTTTTTTTAAGCCTCACAGCTGGAAACGGGGAGGGAAGAAAAAGCAAAACACCCAAGTAAGAGTTTGTCTTCCAATTGTAGCTAGAAAAGCTCTTTAGATGACATATATTTATCAACATGGCACTTAGTGAGCTATTACAGATTGATATTCCCTAAGGACTATGTCTCTTGATCAACCCTTCTTTCACAGGCGGGATGCCCAAAGTTTGCCCAAATAAGGACTACTGCATCTAACAGGTAGAAAATGGGGCAGATTGTGACTACTGTTTTCTGGCTAATATAGAGCAGCACTTGCTGGGACTTGCAGTCTCTGTGGGCCATGTCTCCATATCAAAGATTATATGTCTCTGTGGGCTGCATTTTAGATCCTCATGGGCTATTTTTGCTCATTGGCTCTTTTACCAGAGATCTTGGAGAGGACCCTCACTGGAAAGTATCTACAGGGAAACACTGTTTCTATTTGATATTGCACTGGACAGGGGGAATTGTCAGCTCACACTGACAGATCTCACCATTGAAGGTAACTGAGAAGGAAAAGAATTCCTCTTCTTTTCAGAAAGAAAACATAAGCACTACATCTCTCCTGACAGCACCATGTTAGGCGTAGGTGTGACCTTGAGCAGACACAGGAGGCATTTACTGCAGTTCAGCATTACCACTTCAAGTCAGACTTTGAAATCTTTAAGATCACAATATTGTTGCCACAAAACAAAGAGGAGGCATGCAGCAAAAAATGGCAGCTGGCGAAAAAGCATAAATCTCAGTGTGGGTATGTGTGTGCGAAGGCCTGTGTGTGTGCTTTTTGTATACAGGGATGGAAGTTTGCACACCTCTGAAAAGCACTGACATTAAGGCCCTGCTGCGTTAATAAAGTCCAGACATCCTCCTGAAGCAACAGAGAGGTCTCCTCAATAGTTCTGCACATTGCGTCCCCTCAGCCTCATCAGTCACCATATTCATGCTGTTCGCCATTCCTATCAAATCAATACAGGAGGCACCATGGAAATGCAGACATATGAGCTTGCGTTAGAATCCTGCTGCCCAAAATCATCTGGTGTGCAAGTGTGCGGTTCTCCTGCCAGGGTCTTCATTAGAAACAGGACTCCTGGGATTCTGGGTCATTGTGGATGGGAAGCTTCTCGTGTTCCTGATGATGCCCATTACGTAAAACTGTGTACCTAGGTGGGGGGAAAAGCAAAACAAATAGGAGTCACTAGAGCAAATTAAAAAGGACAGACTGAGCCTTTTCTTTTCTCAGGAGAGTCTGAGACCCAGGCAGGTGTGACTTCACAGTGCTCCCAATATCCCGTTTCCATACTCCACCTGCCAAGTAAAATGTAAATCCAAACCCTGTTCATGATGGCAGAAGATGTCTGTGATCCTAATGTTAACCCCAACCCCTGCAAAGTAGTAACCTGCTGGTTCATGTAGGTCTGAGCTATAACACGTACCCATAACAAACCAAGCTAATGAATTAGGAGACCCAGGATTCTGGGGTGGATGTTGGTGACTGAGTTGTCAACACAGAATTGAATCTGTTTAAAGCAAGTATTAAAAAATCACTTTGCTTTGGCTTGGATGTAGCCAGACAGCCAGCCCCCCCCCCCTCAGACCAGCATTGCTGGAAACACAGGAGGAAGCAGGAACAGGGCACTTAACATATATTCCAGCACAGCCTTTGAAGCACAGGTGTGCTGCTCAATGCCTCTGGGAACAGATATGACGATTAAGCTCACAGCAGGCAGAGGCCCTGTGACAGACCTGGCTCTTAGCCCCTACTAAGTAGTGTATGCACACACACAACATCCTAGGTGGGAAAATATTTACCCTGATAAAAGAAATGTCCAGTAGTCGAAACTTATTGTTTCTCTCCCTTGCAGTGTAAACTACTCTTGCAAAAGCTGCGTCACCCCAAGACCAGCCTCAATTTGCATAAAAAGGAGAAAGAGAATAAAGGAGTACAGAGGTATAAGTAGGGGACCTACAGCACCATGATTTTTGAGTGCTTTTCACTATCTATCTGCTGGTCAGATAAGTACAGCCTCCCAGCTTTGCAGCTAAGAGGTCCCTACGCCTTGTCCCTTATTCTCTTTCCGCGAATTGAGTGACCATCCTGGCTTGGCACCCTGGAATCGAGAATCAAGGAGGAAGAAGCACCCACACCTATCTCCTATCTTTAGTGTACACATATTTTGAAATAGAGCTCTATACTTTTTTTCTTTCTTTGGGATTGTGTTCAGTTTTGTAACTTGTTTGTGTGTGTTAACATCTCTACATTTAAATAAGTAGGCACTAGCAATTTTGAACCACTATTAGAATCTAGCTTAATAAATTTTGGTAACCATTTATGCATAAGCCTGACTTTTTCTCTGGTTTACTGTAAAGCAGCCATCACAATTAAAGAACCTCAGCCGTTTCTCTAAAGCCTGCATTAGGTGAGATACTAAGAGCCTAGCGTTGAGTTTCCTCCACGGGCAACTTTGGGGCACCTGTCAGTCAATCCTGACCCCCTGCGAAGGAGCCTGAGCTCTAGCAGTTAAAGTCAGGGTGTGGAGAGGCTCTTAGTCTCCATTGGGGCACCTGTCAGTCAGTATTGACCCCCTCAAGGAGCTCTGAGCTCTAGCAGTTAAAGTCACGGGTGGTTAGGACCTTGGGGCTCGTCGCCTAGCCTGCCCCGAAGGAATTCCTAGCGGTTAAAGTCACTGGTATAAACGGGCATACTGCCCTCACCAAACATCCTTGGCCGTCTAACAGAAATTGCGTCACGAACAGGATGTATATAGGCTCAGTACAGTAACACAATGAAACCAGTCTGATAAACACCACAGAATCCCTGAGCTAGAGAAAGTTTGACCCAAGAGGATGGGAAACTCTGGGAGCAAAGAACTTGGAGAAATATTGGGAAAACCACGAGATCTCAGCATTTCTGTAACTGGAGAACCCTCAAATGAAGAAAGGAAGGAAAGGCTTGTATATGGCTGCTTACTAACATTGGCAAGCTCTGTAAGGATTATCATAGTCTCAATAGAATTTAATAGGCTACAACAGGAAAGGGACACATCGTGCAGAATTTAGATACCAGATAAGAACACTAATAGGGATATGGAACATCTTCAGAAAAGATTACTTCCTTAATTGAGAAAGAAGGGATAGAACAAGGAAAGCTGAACTAAAACATAGTATCAACCGGCTAAAGTTGAGACTCTCTTGGCTAGACCCTGAGAATGGGATGGAGACATTTGGGATTCAGCGATGTCCCCCTCCTCTGAGGAGGAAGGCCCCTGTAAAATTAAACCACACACAATCACAAATCAGAAGAACATAGGAAAATTTGAGTGGGGCAGACTATGAAGAAGGGATGACAATTATCCATCCACCTCTTCAAAAACAAAGAGGAGGTAAAGAAAGGGAGTAACTCCAACACACTACCAAAATTACCACCCCAATATACTCCCATGAGTTAAAAACAATCCAGGGAGATTTGTAAAAAGCCTGAGGAAGGTATAATAGATGGCTTCCCCTCTGGACACTGGGGTGGATATATGTGACACCCAAGAAACTACCCTTAACTTAGGTGCAGGAATATTCCTGGAACACTCAGAGGGGACCCCTAAAACACTTTGTCTCTGGCTTTCAATGGCAGAGGAATTTACCAGCAGACCGAGATGAACCCACAGTATCACTGACCAACATAGATGAGGTAAAAACACTCTATTAACTGTCTGTCATTTGCTTGGCAAAACCCTCAAGGGTTAGCTATGAAAGCCCATGGAGGGTCAGGTAGTGTAATATCTCAGACCCCTGCTTAAGGATTAGTAACCACAGGGCTTGTCCCTAATCAGAAGCTAGCACTAAGTACCTTTTCTAAACCTTTTTGCATACTTTAGAAATTGGAGACATCAGAGCACTACAGGCAAACTAAATGTTCCTTCAGGGAAACAAGGGGCATCAAAGGACATAAAAACAAGCAGAGCCAACCCAGGAGGAAAGGAGCTTAGAGCCAGTTGTGGAGACAATGTTGGCTTTAGGTTATCCCAGAGATGTGATAAATGGACCCACAGATAAAATTATCACCACCTTTAAAAGACTACTGGGAGACAACTATGTACTATCCTCTGAGCCCCTTCCCCACCTAGACACCCGTATATATTAACTCAAGTTCAAGCAGGAAACTAGCTGGGGTCAATCTTCTAATAAACACTTAAATCCAAAGAGGAGAAAACAAACAAAAGACCCCATACATGTACTTAAATGACAAACACATTATTCCTTCTTAATGCACAGGGGCTCAAATGTCATGATTACGAAAGTTTTCAGGGCTGCACCTACTGGCAAAGCAATACTTTTACAGGAGTAAATGGATACCATACTTACCCATTAGTTAAGATAAAACTGGATATCCCATTGCAACCCCACCATCAGCCCCGAAAATATGAGGTGATTTTGGGCAATGCCAACATACTGGCATGGATGTTTTAAGAGGAAAGAAGGGAAGGATTAATGGAAAGATGGGCTTTTGGAGTCAGTCTTCTCATGCACCCACCTGAAGAGGAAAGCCCTCCCCACTATTCTGTAAACTTACTTAGCAGCGCTGCTCTCCCTCTCAACAGTAACAAACATAAAGCAGTATAATGTCCCAGCTGAGGCCATAAGCCCTGTTACTGACCTGATCAAAGATTTGGAACAGCGAGGAATTTTAATTGTACCCACTCTCCTTTAATTCTCCTGTGGCCCATCAAGAAACCAAATGGCAAATGGAGACTCACTATAGACTATAGGAAGCTAAACAGTAACACTGGACCATTAACTGCAGCAGTCCCTACATAACAGATATTGTAAACACCATACAAACCTGGGATAAACCCTGGCTAGCAGTATTAGATGTAAAGGACATGTTCTTCATGTCCCTTTGCAACCAGCTGACCAGGAAAGATTGCTTTACTTGGAAAGGTGTACAATACACTTTTACCCGAATGCCACAAGGGTTTAAACACTCACCCACTATTTGCCATGGGGCACTGCAAAGGTCCTAGATGACCTTATCCTGCCACCCAATGTACAAACTGTGCAATACATTGATGACATCTTAATAGGTGGGAAAACCCCAGAAGAGGTACAGGAGGCTATGAATCAAATCAAAGGAGCACTAGAAGCCCTTAATTTAGAGTTACCAGCTGAGAAATGCCAAGGTCCTCCCAAGAGATAAAATTCTTAGGTACTGTATGGATGGGAGGTAGGAGGTCTGTGCCTAATGACACTGTGCAAGAGCTAAATCAGGCACCCTCCCTGAAAGCAAAGATCAATTGAGACAGATTTTGGGAACCCTGGGGTTTTGGAGAAAACATGTACCTGGCTTTGCCATTATAGCCAGACCATTGTACAATTTGTTAAAGAAAAGTGCTGCCTGGGAATGGGCTCCTGCCCATGAGGAAGCCCTCAGACAACTGATAGGGGAGATACACACCTATCAGGCTCTGGGTCCCATACATCCTGAAGCCCCATTCCATTTGTACCTAACTGTGGGAGCCACTGGAATGTCTTATGCTCTCTGGCAAGAAAGTGACACTGCTCCCAGACGACCAATTGAGTTTGGTTCCAAGTCATGGCAAGGGTCACAGGCTAACTACAGCCTTATGAGAAGGTGCTTCTGGCAGCTTACACAGCCTTGAGAGAAACTGAGGAATTAACTCAGGATAAGGACATCACAATTCACACTCCTCTTCCAATCATTAAACCTATATTGGAAGGGAAAGAGTTACCACCTGGTGTAGCACAAAAGATGACTATCCAAAGATGGGCACTTTACATACACCACAGGGTAGGTAGTGCAGACACTGCACAAAACCCCACTATGATTCAGGAATCCCTATGGAAAGTAGGAATGCCTGATGAATACCGCCTACCTCCACAGCAGTCTCCCATTAAGGATGCTGCCCCATTTGATCCTTCTAAGCCTGAGGGAGTATGGTTCACTGATGGCAGTGCCAGGCTGGTTAAAGGAAAATGGAAGGGAAAAGCTGCAGCAGTGCCTGCAGACCCCTCTGCAGCACCCCTAACTGCTGAAATTGATGGGTCAGCACAACTTGCAGAATTAGCTGCAATTAAACTGGCCTGTGAAGCAGGAGCCACCACAGTATATACGGACTCCTATGCGGTGTGGGCAGGTGCCACTCAGTGG